TAATACATGTAGATCAATTTGTAGATCAATCTTGTAAATCATTCTGTTGATCAATTCTGCAAATCCCTTTTGTAGATTTTGTAGATCGATTTTGCAGATCACTTTGTAGATCCGTTTACAATATCAAGAATTTACTGTATAGGGAATAAAAAAAAAATTCTGAATTGATTTTCAAGGATAATGTAATTCTGTATATTATTTAAGATAACAATAGAATATTATAAAACTGTTAAAATGTAATCACATTATAATTGTGATTCTGAAATTATTAGTAATACCTAAAGATGAATACCATAATTAAGAAGTTGTAACTCAGTAAGTTGCAACTTCTTGTAAATTATATTTTAATATAAAAATTCATAAAATGTTGCAACTCAAAGCGTTGCAACTTAAGTTGCAACTATTTAAAAATTTTAAAAATAATTATGGGAACTATCTTTAGTAATACCAATATTCACTTTATCTGATTTTGTTATAAATATGTCTTATATATATCTAACTGAGTCTAATAATCACTAATGTTAATATATTTATCAACATTTTAATTTTTGAAAAAATGATTTTAAAGATTGTAACTTTTATAATTTTTTTTGATCATATGAAATAATAACTATGATAAAATATAATAAAACTTTTTATATAAAAAAGAATAAGAATAAAAGCAAAAATATTAGAAATATGATTGGTAACTATTAAAACAAATAAAAGTAAAATATAATATTATGAAAGATTTAATTAAATAGTATGAAAATAATATTGTAACCCAAACGATCTTCAAGAATTGAAAATGTGACGCAGAAAATGATTTACAAATGATCATCATGTGAATTGATCTGCAAGAATCAATGACACAATAGTCGGCAATAGTGATCTACGAAATTAACCAAATCGGTTAATGAAGAAATGAAGTAATAGATTATTAGCCTATGATGATATGCGTAACCTTCTAAACTAGAAACTCCAAATAGGAACTTCAAGGAGAAACTAGTCAAAGGCTAAGTATAAGGATGTAGTAATAATTTAAGAACAATATAATTATATTCTCTACATCTCTTCACGTATATATATATTATAGTTAAAGGATTATTGCATAACGATTAGGTAATCATTACTCAATTATTACAACAACATTACATAGAAAAGATGAGAAAATCATTACATAGTTTTTATGCAATATATAGCAGTAGGTAGGAGTCTTATAAGACTCCTACCTACTTACGCTATAATGTTACCTATTTATAGATATAGTGCTATCTACTTATGGATATAGTGCTACCTAATTATGGGTATAGTGCTACCTACTTGTATGTTTTGATGCTCTGTGATCTTTTTATAGCCTTTTTGCTATCCATTTGTTTTCACTACTCCGTAACCTTTTTTACTGCCTTATAGATACCTACATGTTTTTATTACTCTGTCCTCTTTTTTATTACCTTCTAATTATCCCTATGTTTTCATTGCTCTGTGGCCTTTATGGCTAAGATACTAGGCTAGCATTGATTGCAAAAAATCTTGTTGTGGTCGGGTAGCGCAGTAATCCACAGTGTAATTTCAGTTAATTTTGGCCAGCATTATGCTATAATTCTGACCTGATCTTTAGGGCGAATTATCTTAGCTTTCTGTGGTTGGATTCATGCGGTTATGAGCTCGTTTTGAAGAGGGTGTTGAGAGCTTTCCAATGATACTAAGACCGCATGAATTGGATGCATGAATGCTGAATTATTGCGTCTCAAAGATTTGGAAAAAAAATATGAAATAGTGCTGGCCGAAATTAAGTGAATTTATACTGCGCCTATTGCACCATGGTCTCGTAATACTGTTTAGCGCTAGAACACCCTCACATAGTTACAGGATGTTGTAAGCACTTCTGAGGCCTGTTTATAGTTTAAAGTAGGTCAGAGACAATAAGTATGCTATTTTTGTCATCATGGAATCTCATATCACTATGAAAAATTTGTTAGTGACACTCTTAGTAACACCTTTATATGCTTTTTTTCAAAGTTTGGGGGCGTTTGACTATCTTCCTTTATATCTGTCACTATGTCTCTAAGAGTCATTAAGAAAAAGTAAAGTTCTAGAAAAAAAATCGAAATTTTTCTATGCTATCCCTATGATTATATAGGATATAGTATGATAAGTATATAACATATGCATGATACATATATGCTAAAAAAAATAAAAGTTAGAATCTCAGGTTTTTCTTAGTGACTCTTTGTGACATAGTGACACACATCTGAAAACTATTCGATGAGTCTAAAAGTGTAAAATAGCTATAAATTTTGTTACCAAGAGTGTTACCAAGAAATTTCAGCATTCAAAATAGCCATAGGAATAGTGATAACTTTTTATTTCAGATCATCTCCCTTAATTAGCTTAGTCAGTTCAGCCAACTTTTTCCGATGATACTCTTCCTTTGACCTATATTTCTTTGCATATGGATTGCAAAATCCACACACGTCCAGCTTAGTCAGCTCAGCCAGCTTTTTCTGATAGTAGTATTCATTTGCTTTAATTTTTTTTGCATGTAGATCACAAAATCCATATCCACCTCTAGTCCATTCCTTGCATCCAGGTTGTTTGCAAGGAACTTGCCTAGAATTTTGATGGACTTTACATCCCTTTGGATGATAGCATCTCCAATTGCACACTTCTCCAGTCCTAAGAATATATGAACAATTATACAATGTTAGGGTGTCACCTTTTTTTCCACCTTCCGTTTGTATATTAATTAATAATCTCAATTAATTAATTTCATTTTAAAGTTTTTTCTTGCTAATGATATACCTTGAGTTTTGGTATAACTATAAATTATCTTAAATTGTTTGAGAAAAAATGACACAATCTGAGCTTTCAGAGTTCCTTGACGCCCCGCCCTTTTTCACCCAGAGGCTGAAAAAGATAAAATGAAAGCCCAAGTAATTTGCTATTCCGGTAAAAACTACTTAAATAGCATTCCAACTCGAAATGATATAGTTGGAAAAATGATGAGGGATTAACTGCAATTCTTGATGATGATCTATCCAGTCGTTAAGAAATTTCATTTATGGCCATTGATAATAAAGGGTCATCAAAAAAAATAAATGAAAAGTACAGTTTTGTATTACATCTCTACAGCTCTCTTATTAATGGCCAAAAGGCGGTGGTAACACTTTTTAGTATTCCTGTATTCTTTGACATTCTTGTATCAGACAAGAAGTCTTCAGATAAATGTGAAATAAAAGTAAGAGATATCCTCTCCGATAGTAAGGTGAAGATAATAAAAATAGAATATATTAAAGCTTTTCCTTTCCGTGATTATCATACAGAAAAAAAGACATATTTACGAATTTATACGAGTGACACTGGTAAAAGAAAGACAGCCATGAAAGCTATTCAAGATAATAATTACAAAACTGCATTAGATGACCTGTACTTATTCTACTGTAAAGTAGCAAGAGAGAATGGAATTCAACTTTCTGGGTGGTCTATGCTAAGTAAATATATATATAAGAAAGGAATTAATCCTCTCTGCCCACATGCTTTCTATACTTCTAAAAATGATTTTCAGCCAATGAAAGACCTTACAACAATAAGTGACTGATTCCCTATTTCAGCTCTTTTAAGGGATCATACTCTTGTCCTCACGTGGAATATAGAGACGCAATCACGAAAGTTGGATGAATTTGCTAAAGTCCTCAATCTGAATCAAAAGGTTTTTATAATTTACATGATATTGCATTGGAAAGATGATCCAAAACCGCTAAAGCAAATATGTCTTGTCAATGTTGAGATGGAACCAGATCTGCGATGGATCACAATCATATGTGAAAACTAAAAAAATCAGCTAAAAGCATTCACTTTCTGCTGGCGAGCATTTGCCTCCTGACATCCAAGTTGGGTTTAATGATTCAAACTATGATTAGCGTTTTATTATGAAGAGAGCCTATCATCTTAACATACTCGAATGGATGTGGGAGCGAATAACAGGAAAGTTTGAAACAAGGGATGAAATCCTAAAGTGGAAATATCGTGAAAAGATAGGAGCGAAATCTGAAAATATTTTCAAGAAAAGGAGTACTGTTAAGGTTTCTGAGGAAGGGAAAGAGGATCCGGAAGAGAAAGAATATTTGGGTGGTCCAATTAAGATCAAAATTAGTATAGAAGATAATTTTACTTCTAGCTTCCTTAAACTGCCAGGTTACGTACTGATTGACATCAGAGTACACCTCAAAAAACGTTTTCCCTGTTCTGAAGTTAAAAAGGAAGGCTCACTTAAATTCTTCTTACAAAAATTCAGTCTTAACAGTAAGGCTGATATGCCATACAATAAAATGTGAAAAATATATTCAGAGGCAAAAAAAAGCCCCTTGTCATCAACTGCGAGAAATATACGTGAAGTAGCACATTACTGTATTATAGACACATTGCGTTATCAAGAGCTTTTGGTAAACCAAAGTATAATAAATGATTATAAAGACGTTGCCTCCATAGCTTATGTTTCTCTTTTTGACGCATACTATCGTGCAAATGAAATGAAGGTACGAAACCTCCTAGACGCTTATGCCATTAAATAAGATATTATTTTTAGCACAAGGGTATGTAAAAATATAGAAAAAGGAAAATATCCTGGTGCATATGTTTTTCCGCCTAAAAAGGGTATTGAGACGAAAAGGCCAGTAACTGGTCTAGATTTTGCATCTTTATATTCTAGCCTTATCATGGCATATAATCTCTCCCCCAAAAAAATTATATTTGATCCAAAGGATGCCGATATTGCGCAAAATAATGAAAATAACTTGCATAAGATTGAGTTTTCATTTAATAAACTTATCGTTCAAACTTGATGCATCTGTCATGATTAGGGATGGAGGTTAATTAACCATGGTTAATTAACCGTTATTTATGTTAATTAACATTGGTTAGATTTGGTTAATTAACCGTTATTTATGATTAACCAATCAAATTCAAGCTTTATTTTATAATATAATCTATAATTGGCTATAATTAATATAGTTAGAAATAAAAATTCTTGTACAATTAGCTATTAAAATTCTTTTAATTTCTACATCATCTGTAGCTGCAGAAAGAATTTTTACACTTTTGGTTTCATTCATAATAAAATTCGTAATAGATTACAAAATATATATATTAAAAAATTAGTTTATATTTATGGGAATCTTTGAATTTATAAAGGACCTTTAAAAATTACAAAAAAAAAATATTTAGCATTAGTAATTAATGATAATAGTGAAAATGAAGGAAATAATGATGCAAGTGATTCTAATGAAAGTAATCATGGATTTGAATATAATGTATTAAATTTAGATGAAGAATAAATATAAATATATTCAATAAAAATTTTTTTTCAAAATTTTATAAAAAAATATATATATGTTAATTAACCAAATCATAAATAACCGTTATTTTACCATCCCTAGCTACAAGGAAGTAAGTGACATCGATTATCCGATTATCATTTAGTCAATTTACACGTGTTCTTTACGTCTTACGCGTAAATCCAATTTTTTTTTCATTTCTCACTTTCACATAATATTATTCGATAAAAACTTTGTCTAATGTCTAAGGTCATTGATTACGTTCAAGAGAACCTTCACAATATTGATTTCTTCATCTTTGTTAGAAATTTCAAATACCAAAAAACAGAAGAAAATTCGGCATGGAACCATTATTTGAGCGCCTTGGTAAAATTGTCTGCTTCTCCTGACAGAAAAATTAGTACTTATGCCAAAAGGAGGAAAGAAGAAGCCATGGTAAGTTGGCATTCGCTTATATATTTTGTTGTAATTCGATATTGAAATTTCTGTTTTTGTAGTCATTGAAATTGCGTAAGGGACAACTTGAGGATTTCTGGTTAAATGTTGAAATCGAGAACGCCCAGGCTTCTTTTGAAGCAGGCATGCGCTGTGTTCAGGTCTTAAAATTTTGACTCACTTGTGATAAAATCTTCCTTCTACTGACTGACGCCATCCCACTCTTATAGCTAAAGAACCAAGTTGTTGATGCCGAAAGACATCATCGTCAATTTAGCAGGTTCTCGAAATGTAGTCCAATTGTTAGTGCCACAGAAGAGAACAGCATATCACCCACAAAAAAGGTAAACCGAATATACTATCATAAACAAAAGTAATAGTACCGGGCTACTCCTTAATTCCTTTCTCTTTATCGCTTGTTATTTTTATTCCATTGCATTATAAATCTGTAGAATTTGAATTTGAATGAGGAAATAGATAATTTCTTTCAAAGTTATCCTGAACAAAAATCAACTAAGAAACGAAGCAATGAACAAGGTTCAAGCGAAGCGGACAACGAGAAAGACAAGGTATGGTATATTGAAACAAGTTGTTCGGATAACACGATGTTCTGACTATTCCTAGCAATCATAAGACTGAATAATTGCTAATCGGTGAGATTATTTTATAGGACGATCCTGAAGCACAAGACTCTATTTCTATATCTGAAGAGGACGATGATTTGGATTACACATTTATATCTAAGCAAGATGACGATTCAGATTACGAACCAAGGTTTGTAATAATTCTATTGAAATTTCTTTGATTTTTTTCTTAGATTCGCAACTTACTTCTATTCATATTACAAGTGATGTTGAGGATCCTCCACCTTTGCTGACATCCTCGCAGTTCAAGTGTTTTGATGAATCCTACGCAAAAATGAAAAAGACTCAAAAGTGGATTCTATCATCTGGGACGTGTGTTGAGGATGTTATTTTCGAGTATTGTAAAGAATTATCAGCCGAATCACTCCTACATTCGTGGATCATAGATTTGGATGATCAGGAGGCAGAGAACCTATTTACAAATGAAGAATGGTTGGAAATACGCAGTGAAATCAGAAAGTTACCAAAGGTTGACGAAACCTTTGTTAATTCAATGTTGCGATTTGCCAATGTAAGTTGAAAATGTAATCATTTTTTTTAATTTGTCTAATTATTTATGATATTGCTGACATCAGGTCAAAACAACGGGTGAGCTAAGAAACGTCTTAGAAACAACATCTTACCGAAACTTGGATGAGCCATATGAACGAGAGAATCACTATGATGCAGAATGGGTAGATATAGTAATGAGGAAATAGTAAGTACATGTATGTTTCTTATTTGTGATGTTGCGAGAGCTTTAATAACACATACACTCAAAAAAAAAGCCTTACAGATTACGAAGATCCCAATGGAACGCTACATAGGTCGCATCTTGAATCTTGGCACGACATTAATGTATGGTCGCTAATAATCGATCATGGACTCAGAAACTTAATTGGAATAGAGACTGTCAGGTAAATTCTTACTATGATCATTTCTGTATATATATTTTTTTTTTGAATTTCTACTTATTTATCTCATAGAAAGGAGTCTTCAAGTGAGGCAGTATCCGCAAGAAAAAATCGAAAAAGGGTACGTAGACGTCGCAAGAATATAGAACGTAAGAAGATGGGGTCTCGTATGGATGGAATATTCAGAGCGTACGTCAATGATGTTGAATATGGAGTGATTGAAGTAGCTAAGAAATTTGATGAAACCAAATTATTTACTGACGGATATAAACTGAGTAAAGCAATGCACGATATATTAATATGCTTGAGTAAACAAGTCCATTTCGAAGAGATCATCAGCAGCAGTAGCAGCGCCAATATCAGCAGCGGCATCATAATCAGCAGCAGCGCCAATATCAGCAGCAGCGTCATCATCGGAAACCACACAACCATTTACGCAACATTTCGGCATTTACAGAAACAATA